GAGCATAGCTATTTATTGCCCGAGTCTTATTCTTGCCGTTGAGCTGGCTCCTTAGGACCTGCCTTACTTTTTGGAGGAATTTGGCCGGAGCCGCTTTCCTTGTTACCTCTTCGAGGTTGCCATTTGCTTGTGGGATTCCAAGGTACTTGTAGTGTGGAAGCTCAATGGTAGCATTCTCTTATGATAGAAAGAAGAACACTTGAAAACGATTCACACCATTTTGTTCTCCAGAGGGGGGAAACATTTATTTGCAATTCCCAAGGGCCTCCTCCCAGAGGGATGTGCCTGGAAGACTTCAGAAGAAAGGGTTCAGGGGGCTCTGAAGAAGCTGCCTGAGCCACCTCAGCTGACTCCTCCAAAAATGGAGAAGAAGCGACTACTCTGAGCATCTCCCGAATCCTATATCTGCGTGTCAGCCAGATTGAGGAGATCCTCAAGGTATCTCTTTGACTGTCCAATGATTGCCTCTTTCACGGTCATCAAGGGTCCAATGATTGCCTCTTTCTTGGTCATCAGGGGAAAGGAGACACAGGACAGTTTGCCAGTATCGCTTTGAGGCCAACCGATAGTCCATGGACTCTCCAAGCTCCTAACAGTTCTGAGATTTTGCCTCTGCGACTGCCCAGGCAGTGGCACATTTGACCTCACAATACCTCCTTGCTGCCTTAGGAGTCCCACAAGCCAGGGAATCTTGATAGGTCTCCTTCAAAAAGCCCATTGCCTGATATGGTGGAACCAGCGCTCCCATCCTGTAGCCAAGTCTAAAGTCATTTGGCAAGTGCTTGATGGTCGGGTTCTCCCTCGAGGGACCAGGCCAGGCCCAGCCCGAAAAGACAAACGCAAGCCCATCCACCAGTGGGCCCACCACCTGCAGGGGGAATGAGGGACAGGTAAAGAGAGGATATGGCAGCACAGTAGTGAGAGGCAAAAGCCTCAGTGACCCGATCCGCAGGTGCTCGAATGGGAACATGGAATATCACCTCACAGGCAGGTGTAGGAGGCAGAGTTGTACCGGCTTAAAATAAGCTCACTTCCACATGTAGCATGGGCTCTAGAACCCAGCTCCTTGAGAGAGGCACCTATATGCCAGAGATATGGCCTCCACAATCCAATGTGTTAATCTTTGGCGGGAGACAGGTTTGCCCTTATGAGCAGTAGCCCAGGATACAGATGCTCAGCTCTTCTGAGACATGCTGCCCTGTCCACATAAGCTCTTAAAGCTCTCACTGGACATAAGCAATGAAGCTTCTGCTCTTCCGCTGAAGAGAAAAGGGGGTGGACGAAATGCCAGCAATTCCACCATCGAACACCTGTATGCAGACTCCAACACCTTCAGCACAAAAGCAGGGTTGGGTCTCAAGCACACCTTAGAGAGCCCGGGTGCCCACTGTAAACAGGCGGGACTGACTGAAAGTACATGCAACTCACTCACCCTCTTAGCCGTAGCCAACGCTAAGAGCAGGGCAGTTTTCAATGAAAGGAACTTTAAGCCAACACCCTCCAAAGGTTCAAAGGGATGATGACAAAGGGCATCCAGCACCAGACTGAGATCCCATAATGGCACCAGAGGCTTAGAAACTGGTAACTTACCTCATGCCCCTCTCATGAAACGACACACTAAGGGGTGCTTCCACACAGGTTTATCACCAAACCCTACCTGACAAGCAGAGATTGCGGCTAAATAAACCTTAATTGTTGAAAAAGCCTTACCCTTCTCCAACAAGCTCTGCAGAAAGCAGAGCACGTCCCCCACTGAACACTGAAAAGGAATGGTCTATTTTTCCTCACACCAGTAAAGATAGCGAGTAGAAGGAGCCCTAGCATTCTGTATGGTGTCGATTACCTCTGGGGGGAGGCCTGTTGCATTTAAATTCCACCTTTCATGGGCAAAGCCCAGAGTGCCACCAGATAGCCACCAGAATCAAAGACAGCCCCTGTTCCCTCACTCTGACTAGAGTTGGGGATATCAGGCTGAGAGGAGGGAAAGCATAAAGCAACACGTCTGGCCATGGGTGCACCAACGCGTCCATACCCAGTGGAGCGTCTGGGTCTGACAGGGAGAAAAACAGCAGGCAATGAGCATTTTCCCATGAGGCGAAGAGATCTACGGCAGCCCGTCCGTATCTCTGCCAGATCTGCTCCACCACCTGTGGATGCAGCTTCCATTATCCATAGAGAGGGTTCCCTTTGGATAAAAGATCAAAACCACTTTTACTCTGCGACACAAATGACGGCGGGAACAGAGTCGCAGTGAGGCGACCCACCGCTGAAAGTCCCTCATCATCAGAAGCCCCAGATGGACAACTGAAATCACGGATGCCATAAGACCGAGGAGCCACAGGCACAGT